TTGTTCGTAATAAAAGTAGCTACAAAATGGCGGTGGTCCGATTACGAAATTTGCAATAACAAAGCCGTGAGACTGAAAAAACGGTATAAAATGTCAATTTTTTTTAAGTTGCTGTAAAAATGTCAATTATAAACAAAAAGTGATAAAACTTTCGAAAACTATAGTTGCAAAAATTAAGATAATTGAATTTTGCAAAATGTTTTTGGTTTCTGTATAGTTACTCTATGTTTATACCAAATTTCAAGTGTCAGCAAAGCTTCAAACAAATTTGGCAAAGTTTCAAGTTTCAGATGCCGATGAATATAACACCTTATAGAACAAAAAGTTTTGGTCTCCTGATTTTCGGCTTTAGCGTCATTATTATATATATATTGAACTATAGTTTTCGAAAGTTTTATCACGTTTTGTTTATAATTGACATTTTTACAGCAACTTAAAAAAATTTACATTTTATACCGTATTTTCAATCTCACGGATTTGTTATTGTAAATTTCGTAATCGGACCACAGCCATTTTGTAGCTATTTTTATTATGAACAAAATCATATTCTAAGCATTTTTTCGTACAAAGTCATCCCGCTGAGTTATTTAAAGAAAATTACTAAAAAAAAATTTGTCTACGATTAAATTGTTAATAACTTTTTTCCTGATAAAATACTTAGTCAGCAAATTAGCCTGTTATTGTACTCATCATTTAAAGTATTCCTGTGTAGTTATTTCCGAGTTATCAAGAAAATGTCACCAACAGTAACTTTTCAGCCTCTGTCGACTGGACTATTAGTGGGGCCACATATCATTGATAACACTTTAAATGGGGATAAATACCTACATTTACTGCAAGAACACCTTAACCCGTTATTGGAAGACGTCCCTTTAACTAGTTGAAGTAACATGTGGCTTATGCCCGATGGTGCACCATCCCATTTTAGCAAGGCAGTAAGGACTTATTTAAATAGCTCAACTCGGTCTCCCGTTCTTACTCCTCTCGATTTTTTTCTTTGGTGCCATCTTAAGAGCCTTGTTTATCAATCTCCTATAAAAAGTAGGAAAGAATTATTAAATCGCATAATTACATACGCCGAGAGATTATTTTGACCTCCCCTGTATACCCCTTCATTTTTGATATGACCTTTCCGGACACACTGTATATTCCTTGAAGCACGTATAATTTTAAAATGTCTCAAAAATAAATATATTCGACATGATTTTATTCTATTAGTTACTATTGTTGCGTTCACAAGGGCTCAGTCAGTACCTGTAAGGATAATATAACGCTGAAAAACTTTAATCTCACTGGTTGTAACAATAAAGTAACGTCCTTCGTCCGCTAACTAGCTTTTAGTTATATTTTTAATGGCGGCTTCGGTCCCTACATTTCCATAATACAATGTAGGTATACGGTTAAATTCTTACTAGCCTCATTATTGTTATTGCCTGTAATTTTCTAGCGTAATTTATAAAATCTGCGTCTTGACTGGAATCGTCTAATGAATTGTTTTGTTTACACGTGTTCAACAAAGTATTCGGCTTTATTGTTAAAAATGGCGAAGTCGCCAGTGCTTCTCGTTAGTTGAAATACCAGCACGCTATTTTACTACATTCGTACCGCGTTTAAACCCATCACAGTAGTAGCTTTAAAAGTACGTTTTACATACGGTTTACGTTGTTCATTCATTCTTATAGGTACCCAAATTAAATAGAAAGGAATCTACATTAATTAAAGTCATATCGAAAGCAGTACTAAAGCTTTGAATCCAGATAATGTTTAGTTCATTGTTAATGGAAATTCTAATTAAAAAATAGTATAAAAAAACTTGGCAACCTCCGATGCAATTATATAGGTAAACTTTTCACATTGGATGAGTTTTTATTTTAATTTTTGAATCATTAGATTTTAGTTGTACCTACAATTTTGCAAATCTCCGTACTTAGAATGTGAAATAGGCTGCTCTAATTCCACAAACCGGTTTTTACGGTTCTAGTGGTACTTCTATCTTCTCTCCGACTTTTTGTCACTCCGCGTACAATCACTCTGATAGCGATACGTTCCCTAGGCACTCATTTACATGAACAGTGTATCTAAATTAATTACATGTTCGGCAATTTAAAATAGACGGTTAACCTAGTTAAAGCCACAGGTATGTACTTAATGAAGATGTGTCATTTAGAGAACACGGGGAATTATACATCCCTGGCATTATTAATAACACTCCATTAAATAAAGTGCCAGCTTATATAAGCGACGGGACAATATATGCCAGTGCCAATAAAGTAACGGCTTTTAATAACGTATTGAAGTCAGTAGTTCTTTAAAGCGGTGCGCGTCGTTGATGTCTGCAGCATAAAAGCACAAATTTAATAGAGACACCTTCAGCAGTTCGTTTTCCTCGTGCTTTTTCCAATTACATCCATTTTTATGCCAGTTAGTGCGAACAATATTCAATTAAGTACACACGTGAAAGAATCACTAATTTAAAGTATTAGTTTATTACAAAAATATTTAAAATGAGTGGAAGTTATTGAATAAGGAGTATTAAAATATAAAATATGGAATTAGTTGGCAAATTTATGTCAGTCAATAATTGAAAACTTATTTCAAATCCTGAAAATGAATCAATAAATAGATAAACCGTCAACTTTCGGAAAATTGTATTTTTCTTAAACATTTTTTGATATCCTCGTAGAGATTTGCGAAAATTTGTGGCCAGGAACTTACGACGTGAGAAGAGAATTCTATAACCTACTCAGAATAGGAGAGCTACTTACAATTTTTTTATGGAATCTATGCTAGCGGCTAGAATAGCAAACGAAACATCAGTTTAATTGATCTTCGCATTTGCTATGTTCACGTCACTGTGTCTAGTGAATAGAAATATATCAGAGCTGTCAATTTTTTGTAGGCCATCTCTAACATACCCTATAAAGAAATTTTAATAGACTATTATGATCTAGAGCCGAGTTCAAGGCGAGATTTTTTGTCCGCTAAATTTTTTTCTGTTTGATATATGACATAATGTTCTTAAATCTGATAGATTAACGTCTGTTGGTTCTGTTGCAAAAGGTACTAGAAAAGTGTACCTAATTTACATTTATAGACAGTAGTGATAAAATTTAAGCTGATCTTACATAAGTCAAGTATGATACTTTGTATTTTACATACATTTTACAAACGATATTTTAAGATAGTAAATGAATGAGATTTGTACAATTGAAATTTTTGTCCTTCAGTTGAAATAAATAGTTATTTATGCACCAAAGAAGATACAGGGATGATTATGCCTGCAGGCGACAGGCTGCTTGAAAGCAAGTCGCCTAAGGGCGTGGTGCATTCAGGTTTTACAATATATCAACGATTATATATATATATATATGACACCCGCAAATTTGTTGATTTTGATAGTTTGATGTTTGATTCTGAGGAGACATTGAAAAGGCGAAATAGATAATATTCCATAAATAGTTGCTGCTAGAGCCAATAAAGCTAATGAACAATTACTGCCTAAGAAATCTAAATTACTTTATGATAAAGAATATAAACGTTTTGAGACTTGGACAAGAAGAAATTCAGTGCCAGCTGTTAGTGAACGATTAATGGGATATTTCCAAGAACTGGTGTGTACTTATTACCTTTCATCATTTTAAAAAAATATTTATAATTTTTGATAATTTATATTTTTTATATATCTTTTCAGAATCATTCAGCAATAACACGTTGTGGACAAGTAATCGATGTTGAAGACTACATTATCAGTGCGCGAAAAAGGAAATATAGGAGGATATCATCGATTAGAAGCTTATTGGAAGCAAATATCGAAAGGATATATTCCAAAAAAAATCTTAAGATATTGACAAGAGAGGATATTTTGAAATTTATTAGAGAAGCGTCAAGTCATACATATCTTTTGGAAAAGGTAATATAGGAAATACTTGGCTATATGTATGTACTTAATAGGTTTTTGTTATTGTACACACAAAAAAGTAAATATTCAAAGAGAGAATGCAGATTTTCTCAAGTTTTTAAATAAACAATAGTATCAAACGGAGAAAATATCATTAAATTAAGAAAATGATGTTTCTTCAATTTAGTTCTTGATTTTCTTGGAATATTAGTTCATTGGGAATAATATATTATCAGTTTGAGTATTTAACAGAGCTTAATTGAAATAGATCTGGGGAATTAAAATGAATACGTGGCTCACTATTTTAGATCCACTTGTTTCTTGATGGAAAGAAACTATCATTAAATTGAAAAAACGATGTTTCTTAAATGTAGTTCTTGATTTTCTTGGAATATTAGTTCATTGGGAATAATATATTCTCAATTTGAGTATTTAACAGAGCGTAATTGAAATAGATCTGGGGAATTAAAATGAATACGTGGCTCACTATTTTACATCCACTTGTTTCTTGATGAAAAGAAACTAGCTTCAGTCTAAAAAGATATTTTAATTTCTCTAATAATATGATTCCTTTAACAATAATAACTAATTTTCTCCAGGAGATACAAATAAATTATTGATATAGAAATATCAGACAGGTACATTAATTTACATTGATAATATTTTCTTTACCTATTAGCAATAATCTCTCTATATAAAAATACAAAAACATAATAATAGACCAAAATCGGTATTTTCGGCTTTAGGTATTTGACTTGAAAATATAAAACTGAAGGAATCTTTTACAAGTATGTACCATCTAGCAAATTAATACAAACAAATAATTAAATGAAGTTTTAATAAAATGTCGGTTGCATCTTGCAAAGAATTGCCACCTTCCATTCAAAATAAATGTGTATATTTACTTTATAAAATTCATGAAAAGTTGTTATTATTATTCTGTAAAATATCAAATTTGATTCACTCCAAATTTATCAGGCGCACCCAGTAAAACCATTTACGTGGGACACTGCGTAGATTGAATGCAGGTGTGGGAGGGCACGGTGAAGTGCGTCGGCGCGTTTTGCGAAGTTGGCCGAGGCAACGTATTCTAGATGTTTCGTTTGTCTGAAGCTCGCGTCTTTTCCTTTTCTGTTCAGCAGTTCATACCTAACGTTTCGTTGTTTAGTTCAGCATTATTTGCCGCCATTTGCATTTTGCACATAGGTAAGTAACTGCATGTTGTAAATATACCTATGCATTACAGAGTACAATAGCGTTTATGTTTACAGCAAGAACGACGGTTTTTTAAGAGTTAGAGTATAAAAGTGTACTTAATTAAGCTTTTTACAACCAGTTGAAGCAAGTATGGAGTAATTACTAGGTAACAGATTGGAGACTTTCTAGTGAAACCGTGCAGATATTTTTAGGTAAGTGCAAATCCTGCTCTAATAATAAGACTTTTCGCCCTAAATTTATATTGTCAACTTTTTAACCCATCAGCTTCTAGTTATTTAAATTATCCGGAAAATCATTTGTAAAGATATTCATTTAATACATGAATTTTCCCAAGTGTTGCCATAAAAAAGTTGTCGCTTTTTATTATCTGAAAAACTACTTCATTGATTAAAAATTCGAATTTACTAAGTGAAATTTGCCCGTTTTGTAATATTCCCAATACTTTAACGTTTATGCATTTCACAAAAATTAACTTGTGTATAGTTTTAACTATTTTCTGTATAACATTAAGATTTGTTTGAGTTTGATTTATTTGGTTTTGTTTCATATAGTGTTTTTTTTTCAGATTAACTTGGACTTTGAAAGAACTTTCTCAAACAGCGATATTGGCATTTTGGAACAATTTGGAATAATCGTAATATCCAATGTAAATGTATTTATGTACATATGTAAATAAAGGTATATAATTATATACTATAAATATATATTCTTATCACTATGAACATTTGGTTTAATCTATTTGATGTAAACATCTATTTCGTTAAAAACACTATTTGATTTCAAGGGAACCATTAATAAACTTAAAGCTATTTCTTTTATTTTTTGTTGGGAATACATCATAAATTTGTACTGAGTCAGAAAGTCTTTGTGGAGAATAATCGATTAGCTTATATCAATATTTTTTCTATTCAAATTAATACTTTATGTAATTTAAAGAGAGCCAATAAAATATTATATCTAAACCATGTAAATTTCTCGGATCAAGAAAACGAATATTATTTACATAAGATATCGGTATATTCACATTGAGTAAATCATAGAATTGAAGTGCTTGTTAGATTTTCTCCATGTGAATAAATTATAATCAATGTGAGAACATGATTTTCTCAAAACAAGAGTGGAAATTATTTGAAATGATGCATTTAGTTTTATTTTGAACTATGGCGCTATTAAATGAAGAATATCTTTTGCTTCAAACAAGAATATATATTTTTCATTTCAAATAAATATCTTCTTGCGGATATATGAGACTAGGAATTACTCAATACAAGCTGATTAGGTTCATTTCAAGTATTTACTTTTTTGTGTGTAGGTTGTTCGAGTAATGGGTGTTTTGAAGGATTAAGAAGACATATCGGAATGGTCGATGTACTGTGCAACCAGTGCAAGAACGCATTTTTGAGCTGAAGTCCGATCCTCTCCGAGATCTATTTGATTTTAACGTCGCGACCACGCTCTCCGTAAATCACTCGGTATATTTATGGGAGAAATCTCAACTATAAACTATTTTCTAAGGTTTATGTAGTCCATAAATATAATCGTCTGAAATAGCGTCTTCAGTTAACGCATCTTTGTTTAGCAAAATGTCTGGGCATAAACCAGGTAAAACAATTTACTGCTCGGTGTGTTTACTTCACCCTCGGAAGTTATAATTTTACCTTGAACGCGAGGCAGACAGAATCTCGTTGCACTTGCCTTCGAAATGACAACTACAGATTACGAAAACTGATTTACGATGTACGTATTTGAACTGAATACGAGAATTATTATTTTTTAAAGTGTATCATAATTAGTAGCGCAACTACTATATAAGCAAAAAAAGGTTAGTAAACATGGGTCTACAAACGTACCGTTTTCGAAATATAGGGTGTCAATAAAAAACGATTTATTTTCAGTTTTTTGCCGATATCTCCGGAGCCGTTTGAGATACAAAACTCAAATTTGGTACACGTATGATCATTAACATTAGCTACTTTTAAGAGTTAATTAAAATTTTATCTATATGACAGTGGAGGAAATTTTAGGATTGCGTAAGGATCTTTTGCCCCTAATATTTACGACTCTGTTAATTTTGAAAGCATATTTTAAATTGTCAATGATTTCTACACAAAAAGGTAGTCATCAAAAGCTCTAACGAGGACCGTTTTCGAGATAAATGGCGCTTTATGATGGAAAACAGGAACGAAGGTGGCAACATGATAAAAAATAGTTTCAAAACTAAGCAAATAAATAACGAAAATCACAACAGTTGTTGAAAATAGCGTGTACAAAATTTGAGTTCTGTATCTCAAAAGGTTTCTGAGATAACGTCAAAAAAGTGAAAAAACATTTTTTTTTTGACACCCTATATCTCGGACCTATGTTTACTAAAACTTACTGCTGTTTCAATTTGCGCCATTAATTATGATACACCCTGTATACATTATCAGCTCTCGAATTGTTTACTCTATTTTAAAGGAATTAATTAAACAAATTCGGATTTTTTATTCTGAAAAATCATGTTAAATGTAGTCAAACAATGTTCTTCGATACCATAAAAAAAAATTCGCACATCATGGGTTGAGAAATAATTAACATTTTTTCAAATATTTAAGAAATTATAAAAAAAATAATATATTCAATTTTTTTCCTTATCTAAACATATAAAAGATTAGTTTTCTTTTGATGTAACAAAAAGTTCTGATATTGAGTAATTAAAAAAATATCATGTCGAAAAGATGAAAAGTGAAATATCTGCAGAAATTTTCACTTATTTATCTTTAGGCGCTTTGAATGCATTCAAACCATCTTCAGAAATTTGAAATTTACCATCCAAAATGCAACAGCATGTACCAACTTTTTTCTTGTTTGGTGCTTTTACTAAGGGTTAAGTTTGATTTATGCAATTCGTGAGACCCTGTATAAAAAATAAGTAAACAACTAAATAATCGTAATTATTATAAGTCCTATTATAAACAATAACATTAAAGCTTTGTATTGTTTCACTAACAAATGGTTATAATCAATTTAATTCCTATAAAATTTTGATGGAATCTAAAACAGTTTTTACAGTGTAAGAAACTAATTTGACCTTGAATCAACAATAAACAAAATTGTCAATTTATTTACCTACAACAATAAATTCATAAAGAAATTGTAAGAATATGACTGGCTACAATTATTGTTTAGTGCATTTTGGTGATATTTTGATTTAAAGATACAGTCCGTGATAAACCCAACAATAAAAATTATTAAAAGCATAATTTAAATACTTCGTCCTGTTGAAATTATTTATTAACTAAATTTGTCTTTTTCCCTCCTATTTAATCTAGATCTTACCCACCGACACTGATTTGCTAACGGATTATTCCCTAAATAGCCGCTACAATAGTTATAAAGCAACATAAACATCACTGTTTTAGGTTTGTTTCCCTTTGTCGTAATACAAGTAGAAAGTTCTAATGGCATAGTACATAACCTTAATTACTAGAAGTTGGTATCAAAGAAATATTAATATTCTAAGTTGGCCATACTGACACTAACTAACTACGATAAAAAATTGAACTATGTAATATTCATGCAATGCCAATAGTCATCAACTTTTTCATAAACTAATTCACGTTTGTGTAATATTGTTATTAAATTTCTTTATCTCGTGTTTTATGTAATGATAAAAATCAAGTTTTCAGTTTTTATAAAAAAAACATCCAGAGAAAGTATATAAATGACCTAATATGTGTACCTAATCTCATAATCTTATGCTTAAATATCTATTTATTGTGAAACAACTCACCAAATCCTTCTTATCTTCTCTCGGGAGCTTTTAAAATTCTACCATTTCACTTAACACCGTTCACGTCACGTCACCAAAATGTTTTTATAACCAAACAAAACCCTTAACACGTGCGAAATTACAAACAAACATAAACACACACACACACATTCGTATTTCATATTTGAGGTACGTAATAATAATTATTTAAACGATTATCCCGAAATATCGCACTAATTCTGTATTAACCACGGCGGACCGTAACAGAAAGGACAAAAATGAATAAAAACAACAAAACCGACGCCGCCGACGAACAAAAAATAGCGCTATAAAAAGTGCAAGGCTACACCGATTTTGATTTCCCATTAACAAAAATATAAAGCGGTTGCACGTTGCGCCACGACTCCAGTCAAGTTAACAACTATATATTTAACGAAATGCTGTGAAAGAATAAAACATTTATGTTTAAAACGTATTAAAAATGTTGATATAAAGATTATTATTTTTGATCGTTATGAAATTAATCTTTCATTGTAATTCCTAGCTTCCGTATACTGCTTTGTTGCCTTGCCTCGCTCTGATTTGATTGTTGTGATATATACAGCGTGTCTCGAATTGATGAATGATGATTTATGCATTGGGATTTCGAAACTATAAAAGATTTGATTCGTATATAAGAGTTTTTTAAATAAATGAGGCCACTTTTTTAACATCTTTTTGAAAAGAATTTCACTGTCGTGGACACAGACTCTGACACAGTGTCCAAAAGGGCTATTAGAATTTATATAAAATTGTTAAGAGGTTAGGATATTTCAAGTTATACCTACCTATAGGTCAAAATAAAGTTACCCCATTCATAAATTCGACGAAAGCGACAAATAAAAAATTACGCCCGATTGAATGGATAAAAGTCGATTAATTATTAAAATTCCGAATGCCTCGGAAATAAATTTAATAAACGGTCACGTAATGCAAAGTAACTGATACCACCATAAATTTAATTAATTCCCAGTTGCGACGCAATTGCAGATGCCGAAAAAATAAACGTTTTTTCGAGGTAAATGAACCTTGAAATGGACCGAACTCCACACGCATAAACAGGATCCAAGATTATTTCGATTACCAGCCCGGTTCTCAGACCAACCGAGAGCTGCGAATTTTCCCTAGCTGATACAGGGTGGGTCAAAATCAAGATGTAATAATTATTTGTACCATTGTCCTTGTATATTTTTTATTCGCTTTATAGATGTCTTAGTGGTTGAGATTTAATTTGGAAGAAAGAAATAAAAAATATATTAGCAGGAGAGCACTATGATGGGACCTGGAAGTGCAAGCCCTACGGAGACCCTTTTTCTAAAAAAAAAGGTCATGCAATCAGCGAGTAATCGATATAAGTAGCTGGATTTGAGATTTACAGTTTTTTTTGGTTCGATTTTGCCAGATCTTGCTCAGGCCCAGGGCTATAGCCTCATAGCCCTACTCTAGATCCGGGCCTGCATCAGAGTTTGTGATTTGTGCTGCAGGATTTCTGTCGATTATCCTGGTTTGGTGGTTTACCTTAAATGTGAAGATCCTGTATACAATAAGTTGATTTGAATGCTATATAAGCCTCATATAAAACTGGATTTAGTGACTTTTATACCTTACGATTTACAATTATTTTAGAGAATTATTTTGGCAAGGTGTCATCTTAGCTTACTGACCGATTAAGCTTGTGAAATATGTCTGTAGCTGAGATATCCAGTTATCCAAGTCCTTTAAAGTCTCGAGGAGCTCCTGAGAAAAATATATTTTTAACTTTTAATGATTACCAATTTTTTTTATGTTGCTAAGGAGAATTGTTTTTATTGGATTGTAATTATGTCGTTTTTTTTTTTAATTCTTATTAAGGGGTAGTAAAAATACCAAATATTTTCTTAATCCCTAATAGAAACGGTTATTAAACCTACTGTTTTATCTAACGAAAAATCGCACATTTTCTGACTATCAGTGTTCGTATCCGCCTGGAAAACCGTCAGGGAATTTTAAAAGTATTCATGAAAGTCAAGGAAATTGATGTTTACAACTGGAAATTTTATGAAAGCCGGCCCTGGGTTCTTGAAAGAGAACACTATTTGTGACTATGAACCCTTTGGGGAGTTCTTTGGGTTTAAAAAAAGATGAAGTCCAGTCTAGAAAAAGTTTAATGCATAAACGCCAATTAGTATGTAAAAAATGAACTAAAAGTGACTTGGATCTTTTCTATGAATCCTGGCAGAGGTCTAATGGCCAAATTGTTTTGGTACGAAACAAAGTACGACAAATGCAATTTTTCATAATAGTCTGGCCATCAGAACAGAAGAACCGTCTTTTTCCTATAACATTTTTCCTATCTAGTCTAACACATTTTGAATATAAATAGTAAGACACAATTTTTCCAAAACTATTAATATACGTGAATTCATTCGTTATGGACAATGTGATTGATAAGGCTATTATCCAGGGTAGCTAGGCAGTATGATGTGGCTTGTGATACTTGATTCCATGACAAGGTTTGTGGGAGAAGATTATCTCATAATCATACATTTAGATTATGAGGGCTCAATACCAAATAGGCAACCAGCAATACATTTTTATGGATTTTATTACACAGTTTGTCTAAATATGAATTAATATGCAAATAACAGACTTTTCTCCATTCTACTGCAGATTTTCTATAAAATGGAGTTAGTACTCAAATTACTTTTTGGTGTAAAAAATTTTGTTATTTACTAGTTCAAAAGCGGCAAATTACAAATTTCTTTACAACTAAAAGTAATTTGAATTTCAAACTAACTCCATTTTATAGAAAATATGCATTAGAATGGAGGAAAGGCTGTTATTTGTGCATTAATTCATATTTAGACGAACTGTGTAATAAAATCTATAAAAATGTATTGCTGGTTGCCTATTTGCTATAGAGCATATAATCATATTGAAGCATTGAACCTACCTTATAAGTGTGTATATAGTTTTCTATACAATAATTGCTCGTGACTTGTGATACTTGAACAAGAAACACTAATGAATAAAATATGACAAATTGTAAAATGAATATCGTATCTTCTCTCAGTAGCTATCGCTAATGCAGTCTCCATTCCGAGGAATATGGTTACCGCGTAGTCCTCCAACAAGGCACCAGACTCACGGACTGGAATCTAATTGACCTCTCTCACTGGTCGGCCTATTTTCATGGCGATTCCTTCCAGCTCATTCCCGAGCTCGGAATCTGGACCTGATTGTAAAGAGCAGGACAAGCACTTTTTGTTGCCTGTAAATAAATTGCAATATATCCTCTCAACGGCGCTTTGCACTGAAGCTTTCAACTGAACTTCTTTCACTGTTTTTGAGTGTGGCTAAAGAGCACCGGTCAATCGACCAAAAGTCCAAAGTTAATCTTGGGGAATATCGATGATATGGATCAACGATTCAGGTCTGAGCCTTAGCTCGCAACAATTTACAACATCTTATTTGAAAGAGATTATTTGAAATAGTTCATTAACGGTGTATGGAGTTAGGATGTGCAGTTAACGTATACGATACAATGCTAGTGAATATTTGAGATCGTACTTCATACAAGTCAGGAACTGTGTCCTAGCTACTTATTTGAGGGAAGCAGAGTTGACGTTCGAACTCGGTTTGGGATGGTCCTGCCAAGTCCTAAAGTGGATCTACTGTACGTAATCTAACATCTAGCTTTAGATTTATTTGGGGTAGCTTGGTTTGTGGACAGTTACAGTGGCTATTCAAAACATGGGTGAAAATTTTTAACTGACGAGGTTTTTGTTCTCGTACCTACCAGTTACATATGTGCTACCGGAGTGATTTTGTAGATGTTTAAGGTATCGCTTTTTTCGATAGCAATTCATGAGCCATCATTAGTCTCTCGTCCCACCTTTAAGATTTAAAGACTCGGTTCTGGAAAAAAGTTATCGACGGCAGAATAGGATAAAAGCAGAACAGTGAACAAAGAATAGAACTCCTTGATAAAGACCTTTTATTTACCCTACAGAAATTTTACCCCACGAGGTTGTGACACTAAAGTATAAATGTATGTACAAATACCGGATCTGAATGAGCTTCAGTCTCCAAATAATCATTATAATTACACCTCTAGAAAAATTGCATAAGTTTCAATATACAAAAAAATTACCTAGTTGTTTAATAAAATATTAAATATATAACAGAAGGATCAACAAGAACTTCATTTGCCATTTATATAAGTTCGATAAAAATAAACGATAAAAGAAAAAATTCAGAGGGCTGTATAGCAGATAGGCAACCAGCAATACATTTTTTTTTAAATATGAATTAGTGGGCAAATAACGGACTTTCCCCATTTTAACGCAGATTTTCTATAAAATGGACTTAGTTTGAAGCTCAAATTACTTTTTAGTGTAAAGATATTTGTAATTTACGAAGCAAATTACAAAATTCTTTACAACAAAAAGTAATCCAAGTTTCAAACTAAGTCCATTTTATAGAAAATTTGCGTTAGAATGGAGGAAAGCCTGTTATTTGTGCATTAATTCATATTTAGACAAACTGTGTAATAAAATCTATAAAAATGTATTGCTTGTGGGCTATTTGCTACAGAGCCCTCTTAACACTATAAAAAATTAATTAAGAAACTTTAAGTGTTTCTAATTTACATAATAAGAGTCTACTCAAATCACATTTAAAAAATGAATGGCTCATTATGTAATTCATTAACTAAGAAAAAAGTATATATTATTTAAATATACTAATCTACTTAGGCTACAAGAAAAAAACATATACATATATCACAAAAATATTTAGCAATCTATAAACTACATTTATCACTTTCATCTTTCCGTTCATTCATAACAGAACGCCCCAGAACATTACGTAGAAAAGATAGTGTTAAATAGCACCACACGTGTTGATTATTTGAACATATCTGCACATCTGTAAACGGATTAAATCCTCAAGTGTTAACTATACCAGTTTATTACTTTCTAACTGTAACTACTCCAATCTCGAATCGTTCTTTTTTCCATCCTTCTTAACCAGAAACCAGGCTATAATCCTGAAGGTTTTCGAGGCGCTGAAACCGAATTTTACCTCGGAATTGCTTTATTCCGTCAGGTTTTCGACTATTGCAGAAAACTAATCAATTTTAAGAAGATTTCTCGGACACGGAGGAAGATATTTGAACTATTCGAAATATAATAATATTTAGGGATTTTGAAGGAAAAGAATAGTACTTTCAGATTCCATGACAAGGTTTGTGGGGGAAGATCATCTCGTAATCATACATTTAGGTTATGAGGGCTCTATACCAAATAGGCAACCAGCAATACATTTTTATGGATTTTATTACACAGTTTGTCTAAATATGAATTAATAGACAAATAACAGACTTTCCTCCATTCCAACGCAGATTTTCTATAAAATGGAGTTAGTTTGAAACTTAGAGTACTTTTTGTTGTGAAGAAATTTGTAATTTGCGTCGTAAATTACAAATATCTTGACACTAAAAAGTAATTTGAGCTTCAAATTAAGTCCATTTTATAGAAAATCTGCGTTAGAATGGAGGAAGGTCCGTTATTTGTGCATTAATTCATATTTAGACAGACTGTGTAATAAAATCTCTAAAAATGTATTGCTGGTTGCCTATCTGCTATAGAGCCCTCTTCAGATGTTTTGAAAATCTGACGTTGTGGAGCAATGCTGAGGTCGTACTCGAATTCAGCGCATCAAAAACGTACGGAAAAGTATAGCCGGGTTTCAGGTTTTGTCGACAGATTATTTAAAATTGTATTAATTTATGTCTGCTGAAAAATTTCAACAGTATTCACAACTTAGACACTTCGATTGATTATTGAATGTTACTATCTACAAACCAGTTGAATTACTGGAGATTTGAATGGGTCCAATAATTCCAATTTATTATTTTTTATTATGTCATCTTCTGCCGAAAGACGCTTATACCAAACGGTCAGTCATGTATGTACAATATAATTACAACTTCTAGTTCGAGGAAAATATACATCACACATACACCTCTCTCTTTGGAGAATTATTTCCAGTACTCTGCGAAACCGCCGATACCTTCCTAGCCCTGGCCCCTTCAGTGGCAGCGGTGCCCAGAGACACTAGCGAATTGGGCGCAGAGACAGTCGGTGTGAGCGACACCCCTTCCGCGTTCGCTATAAAGCTGGGACTTCGTTCCAGTGTCGGCATTTCTATACTAACCGGAGCCGGTACATCTTCGACTACATTTGATAATAGCGTAATCGATGTAACGGGCTCTATTATATCCGAGCTTGCATCCAAGGGCATTTCCAGGGACCTCTTGGACGTTACCGAAGCCGTGGTGTTGGACGCGTTGGATGCGATGGAGTCCTTAGAAGCGTGGGAAATTTCCGAAGCAGCTGACCCGTTGTTGCTGCTGGTGCTGGATAGGGGTGGTTCCTCATCTGCGTGCATCTCTGTCAACGTGAGGGTTTGGATGGGGGTTATCGGCTTCTCTGGTTCGAAGGCCTGTCGAAAACAAACAATAAATCTCTCGTTTCCTCCTACTTTACTAAATAGTTAATTTTTTACTTGCCTGGATGAACGCGGGACTTCTATCGGGCAATTGCTCGAAAGTTCTAGCTAGAAGTGGACTACCGTGGTGTGATGATAGACCGAGTGAGGTAAGCTGTGAGACTGTCATCGGCACGCTTACGGGGGTAGCTAGAACCGGGCCGAGACCTGGTGAGAGGACGGCCTGTGCCAGTGCTGCTGTGCCCGGCTGGTTGGCGTGCAAGGTGTTGTTCACAGAACCTGAACCGTCCAGTTCTTGGATCGGTGAGAGGACGACCTGGTGCGGAAGAGTGCATGAGAATTGAGAATTTTATCGGGAATACAGCTGCACCGCACCATCACACTGTAGCGAAACCTACAGTATATCATCAAGTTTGTGGCTTTGGCAGTGAAATTTTGGCTGGGATCATATTTTGCCTCAATGTGACGATGCTGTGTGCTTCGAATAAAGCTTTGTAATAAATCTAGTTGACGTTGTATATATTTTTACTCGATTAAAAGTACAGTAGCTAATTACGATAAAAAAATTAAAGGACTTTTTGTATTTGTGTATTCTCCTTGCAGTAAAAGAGATCATGACTAGGGAATACCCGAAAAAATACAGTCAGGTTTAAATAGGAGAGACTTGTACAGGCAAACCTGATAAATTGAGAGGAGGGTGTGTAACCGCCTTAAGAATCTTCGTACGGAGCAAAAGCTTAGTTTGAAGCCATTTTGGTATTTCTTACCTGCACTACAGGGACATCTGAAGCAGGGTAAGAGGTGTAGTTAGCGGGTAACTGATGTGACATCAGTGTAAGCCCTGTGGACATTTGGTTTTGTACGTTGGCTACACTGGCTGCTAGGCGGTTTTCTCTATCCACGACTTCTTTTGTAACGTCAGGTGTTGGTATTCTTGGACGATTTTTCACTTGCATTGCAGCTGCGCCACTGAATTTCGTATCTGTAAGGGCACGATAATTTAATAAAATCAACTGAAATTAGTATCATATTTCACCTTCGTAGAAGGATACATAATTTAAGCATTTATCATAAATGTTTATTATTTTAAACGTAGGTATGCATTTGCTTGCAGAAAACGTTTTTATCTGTAAACTTGGCCTACTACCCAAAGCGACATTAATTTAGAACACCGCTAATGACATACCTACAGATGATAAATATGAAAATTAGACCTTTGCATAAAATTCAACCATGCAGTAATTTTCCATTTCACAGTTCTGATATTTATTCAATATCATCAAGAAAACCGACCTTGCCCAAGTATCATATAAATGTAAACAGTGTCGTTATTTTATTTGAAAAATCTATTGGTTAGCTGTGCTAAACTCAAGGTCACAAATATGCGGTAACTTTTGGATTCTCCAATTTTTTAGTATCTATACATTTAGGTGAAAACTTCTTTTCAGTTTTGTTTAGTTAATTTACCCTTCACATTGATATAAAGTCATGGCAAGGTTCTTCATAAAATCACACCGCATAAGTGGAACCTTGAAAACCACTTCAGTCAGTGCATATTTTAATAATGGTAACCGATATAATAGCTGAAATTCAGATCTATATAAAAATATGTATTTTTGACTTAATCACCAAGGCACCATTTCACCAAATATCTTGAGTAATGTACATAAATTCGATTTGGATTACTACAGACCTTGTTTAAAGATAAAATGTAAAAAGAAAAAAGTATATGTAGATGATAATGCTATTTTACAAGAAATGTAATTGGAAGCACGTTTTAGAAAGAAACAAAAAGTGATGATCAAGTCCGTATTTCCTTTCACACGAGTCGCTGATGATCGACAACAAAATAAACGCCGATGAAGAGGTACTATTGTGTTCTAATTTCACTTATGTTTTGAATTCAAAGCAGCAAACAGCGGCAAGAAAAAAATTTTTGGATTTTCACTGCGGGAGCTATCTATGCTGAAATCTGTTCCATACACGTTAATCCAGAGCTGATCGTTAAATTTTCCTGGGAATTCAACCAGAAATTCACAGAAAATGATCACGACCGCCCCAGGAAAGGCAGAAATCCCTTCATCCCGAGAACACCTGATATACGGACATCAACAACGGGAATTTCGCGGAGCCATCAAGAGCTGTGATCGGTCGTCAATCCTGAACATCTGAGGTTCATTAATCAAGACAACATTCCTGACAAGTACAAAGTACTACTATTCGCATTCAAACATATCTTGTATATCAATTATACCAAGTAAACTTTTTATATTCAATACAAAATTATTATAAATTGTGAGCCTAAATAAATTTAAGACTTGTGATATATTGCGATGTTATTAACATTAACTTACTTGACTTCAAATTTCTGCTCCTTCCAGACTTCCTGCCAACCAATCTATCATAGATCGACATTTTCTGATGTGTCGGCATTCCGGGCAACTGACCATTTTCCGGGTTAGCATATACCGAATTGCCCCGATGTCTGGTGAAAAGTCCTCCAGAAGAATAAGCAGTAGACGCGGACCTGATCGAACCCATTCCAGTTCTGGATATCTGCCTGCTGAACCAATTGGAGCTCTTCCGTCTCTCCACAATAGGTGTGTCCACACTTTCCTAAAACAGACTCTTAATTATTTTGCCATTTTTTGCTGTATCACTGTAAATTTAACCCTTTACATGATGTCAGTACTGTTTTTTCGAATTATATTTTACATTGTCAATTATATGTTTACTCTGCAAACGTTCTGCTCTTTGAGGAAATGCAAAAGGGCGTCCGGTAACGACCTATGCAGGTTTGTATTGATTAGATCTTAAGAAACACAGTATTCATTCCATCTAGAACATCTTAAGAAAGACATGGGCAGCCTGCAAGAAGGGTCTACTAAATTGGATAAATAAGAAGACACAAGACAAAAAATCACAAGTGTCGCTTGAAGAATAACAACGCAGAAAAATCAGCAGTAGCGAAGCACAGGCAGATATGCGATAAACATAACTAACACCAGAATTCAAGCGGTAGTGGTAATGTAAATTCATTGTTCACTATCTTCTGCAGGTAATAAATAGCTTCTACTACTTGGAATCACCACGTCCTATGCAATTTATTTCAATTGTGCCAATGGAACTTTTACCAATAGTATTTATTACATTTCCTAGTTGTACCGGAAACTGGCCCAGAGCCTAATAACACGTTGTTGTAGGCATAGCAGGAATATCTACTGTTCGTGTAAGCACCTACACTGAATCGTTTATGAAGGAAAAATTCGCCTACGGCTGGCTAATAAAAACAGTAATAAGTGTCACACTATGCCTACTGTGTTGATAGTAATATATAATACCGATAATGTTATAAGTTTCAATACTGTACAGACAGGTATGTTTTCTATGAAATAATTAAGGACTTTCCTGCACAATAATAGGTAGGCGTATCAGTAAAACGACAGTAACAGAAATATGTAACACATCTCTCCATCCCTTTTTACGACGAGGTAAAAGACAACATTCAAGTATTCAATCAAATAGTGAGATGGTAAGTAATACAGAGTTAGTCGACTTAGAATGAAATTGGGTAACTGGTGGGTACACATGTGACCCATCTTAGACGGATCTGAAACGCGGGACACACACTTTGGTTCCCGGAAAAGGGCCACGGCAGATTGGCGCTAGGGACTAGATACATATACCTGCGAGCGACACCACAAGAGCACTGTCCAAAGAACGCTCGTCCCAACATTTCTTTTCACTGCACATTGTTTTCATTAAAGAATACCTTTTATTTACTGTTGAGAGAGAGTTTAATTTTGATGCACACTGAAAGCAACCCTATTGCTTCAAAATTATCATGCAATGGCCATATCTACATCCATTTGAGATCTAAAATACTGTCTAAAAAAAGTGTTGTTTTAAAAAATCACACAGGCTTCTAGTCTGATGAGGTTCCTAGCACAGATAAGAGCACGCCTGTAATGTAATTGGTGATAGCATCAGTTCAACTATTTCAAGTACCTCGTACGTTTAAAAAAAATAACCAACACAAGCAGTCAATAAAAAATTAAAATCACGTGCCTCGCGCACACAAAGCATTCTCAGAGACATAGCCTACTTACATAATCGGCGTACATGTCGTCGTGCAGCATGGATTTCTTCGGTGTCACCAGGTTAGCGTACATCGCGTCCGTCGTTTTTACTTTGTATCCTTCCGCGGACCCCTTTGGTTCCTCTCTGCGGTAATGTTCAGATGCCACCGTGTAGGGCAGCTCCTTGGGGACGACGTCGTCCCAGTATTGGTCCTTCAGCAGTTCCGGATGTTCCTCGTGCATCTCGTCGACGATCATGTAACCGGCCTGTAAACATATAAAGTAGAACACGGTTTTGCTGTTCCAACAGAATTAGTAAGGTATAGCCTTCTGAGAGCATTATGAAAATTAAATAACCTGTAATGTGTCTACAACGGTGGTCATGGTTACCGTCGCGCAATGGGGAAAGACAGAGTACTGATATAAGATTCTGCAGACTCCCTGTATATTTGCACCTTCAGCACGATCAGTAAAAACAACTAACATTTATTTAAATTAATTTAAAAATTGATTGCTGAATATTTCAAGATGTTCATCTAAGTCATTTTTGGGAATGCCGGCATCCTCGGCTCGTTTTATTTTGGAATAAGCAACCGAGCACCGGGAAGTAATTCATGATAACGAAATAAGTGGAAATCCTCGACAATAACCTGCTATGTTTGAATTATTAAACCCTTGCCGTGCAGAAATAGATTACTAGAACTCGGTATAATGTCAACGTTCGCATTTACACACGCCGAATCGAAAATGCCCCGTCGATATTACCTTGGCACCAATCGGGGAACTTACGTCGAACCATACTAATTGCAGAGGTAACATCATAAATTGTGCTGGAGTTAATCGAATTACGAAAAAATTGTACGTCTGATACAAATAACAAAAAGCTTTACCTCATACATGGATTGACAATAATTTTGATATAATCCGTAGTATTTGTGTAAATCGTGTGACATTTTACAAGCATGAACTCATGGAGCTCTTTTGAAAGGTGTGACTTGGGTGCGTAAGAGATGTTGTTTTATCTAGCGATATAGAAGCAATTAAGATAATTTGTGGTTTTATTTATTCATAAACGTATTTAATTATTGCATACGTAATTAAACGTAGCTATATTTAGGTAATGAGATTCAATTATATCGGTAGGTAACAAGTCGTAAACGATATTTGTATAGAATTGGAACATAAAATTTGATATACGTTAAATAAACACACTTTTTAAAGTTAAAAGAGAATTTAATGAACATCAGTCGCGTAGAATATTACATGTTTGTTTCTGAAGGATATTAAAGGAAAACAAACCTTTTTCTAAATTGATTTTTTTATATATCACTTAGTTTTTATGATATTGTTATTTGCCAGACCAGGCTCTATGTTGACGATGTACTTTTATCGCAACATAAATAATTTAAATTCTTGCTGATATAATTGAATTTGAAATGGATGAGGCCTCAAAATTATTTTATGTTTATTTTTCTGCTAATACAAAAATCTTGTTTTTTGTGCCAATGATTTTCCTTAGCTACCACAGACCCTAGCTGATCTACAGCTAATAAAACAATCACTACAAGCTCTGAGATTTTTTCTTTTTCCAAAATTCCGATTAAAGGTCACACTGGTGCGTATTGGGATTTTGCCAACTTTGAACCTTTATGTCTTCTTTATTTATTAACGAAAACAGCGTAATTATATCAAAACTGGCATAAAATTTTAAGAAAAATCGAAGGATGTAATTATGTTTGAAAAAAAATAACAATTTGTTAATCAAAAATGCGATTAAAAAACATTTTTCGAAAAATGACTATTTTTTTCATAAATAATGTCTAGAGAAAGAGTAAAAAAAGGATTTTGATGTTAAAAATCAAAGTATATTTTTAAGAAAAAAATACTCCATATTGATAAAAAATATTATCAATTTTTTCCGGTATCTGGAATATGGGCATTTTTTGAAGTTGCGATTTTTGACTCCTTTTCTGTAAATTGATGTTTATTTTGCACTCTTTTGTATAAATAATATTAGCTTAAACAATATTATCCATAAATAGATGTTATATTGAGCCACACAAAAAAAAAAGATGTCTGTACTTTCCACGCGACATATGTTATCCATGCTATTTTGTCTCCTGATGATGAATCCGGTGTCAGAATTGAGCTATCACATCTCAGGAATTTCCTAACCTCAAAAAACAGGTCAAAAATAGCAAAAATTTACGAAAAAGTGCTAGGAAAAGTACAAAAACAATTTTTTTCTATATTCAAATGTTCATTTATATGGTGAAGACCTCGCCGAACGTAAATCCGCGGTCAGAATTGATGGTCCTTTTTCTAACCTAAAAATTTAGGTTAGAAAAAGATTAGATCAATTAAGGTCAGATATCACAAATTTTCAAAAAATAACAGATTTGCGCTAAATTGTATACGGGGGTTTTCGGGGTGTACTTTAAGAAGGATATAAAGTAAACAAAAATATTACAAAATGAATTTCGCAATTCTGATCTCGAATTCGTAATCAGCGAACCCGAAAACCCCCGTATACCAAATTTGACGCGAATTTGTTATTTTTTGACAATTTGGTCGGCCATCTTGGATCCACCATCTTGAATTTTGCAAAATTGACCTCGGATCCGTGATCAGCTACCCCGAAAACCCCCGTATACCAAATTTAGCGCGAATGGGTTATTTTTTGAAAATTTGGTCGTCCATCTTGGCTCCGTCATCTTGGATTTTACAAAATTGACCTCGGATCCGTGATCAGCGACCCCGAAAACCTTCGTATACCAAATTTTGCGCGAGTCTGTTATTTTTTGAAAATTCGTGATATCTGACCTTAATTGACCTGTTTTTTTTTGAGGTTAGAAAAAGAGTAATCAATTTTGACCGCGGATTCACCTTCGGTGGGGTCGTAACGATATAAATGAACATTTGAATATAGAAAAAAAAAATTGTATTTTTCCTAGCACTTTTTGCTTGACCTGTTTTTTGAGGTTAGGAAATTCCTGTGATGTGAAAGTTCAATTCTGACACCGGATTCGTGATCAAGAGGCAAAAATACTACGGATAACATATGTCGCAAGAAAAGTACAGTTTTTGTGTGGCTGTGTTATTAACAATAATTAAATAAACAATCTTTTAGCCTATACGACACGTAAAATGAGGTAAAAAAGATCGAAAATTTGCATTTCAATTAACTTTATTTCTAGTTTATGTGATATAAATTCAGCCATACTTTTGCCCACACTAAAGTCACTCTAGTTTGGCCGACAACATTAGACTGAGGCCAGCTGTGGTACGGCTTGACTGTTTGGGCTATAGAATGAATTATCGTGGTGGGGGAACCCTAGTCAGCTGCTACCTGTGAAATGCCAACTGTGGTGCGAATTCGCACTAGTGTAACCTTTGAGGATTAAGACACAATAGTATATTGGAGTCATATTTTGGCAAAGATTAAAAACATCAGTAAAAAATACTTACTACGAATAGTTTAATTAGACTTGCTGCATTAAGAAAATTAAATTTTGTGAAAAAGACCATACTCATTTCTGAACCGAGGTTTCCATTACAAAACGGCCGGTTACACACGAAATACCTCGTCAGAAATCAGGTCTGGTCGAACGCCATGGTAAAAGAATTAATTAACTATTGTTTAGTTATTAATTATTTGTTATGTTATTTAACAAGTAAAAGTCTGAAGGAAAGCGCGGCTTAATTATTAATCTTAATTAGTCACATTATTATAAGGCTGTGGGAAATAAATGGAAACTAAATGCGTCTGTTCATGAAAACATTCTTCGCTCGATTATAATTCAAATTGCCTTGTCAAGGAAATTTCATTATTATCGCTGAATAAAAATGAAATTCTCTTCCCGAGCCGGACAGCTGTGCAATTCTATGACTTAAAGAAGTTAAACTATTGTTAATTTTTTAAGCGAGAGCGACTGCAGACTAAGAAGTAAAGTTAAGGTCAGCAATCTCGTGATTCTATTACCTTGATGTGCCTGTCAATGAGCCAGTTCAGTTCAATGTCGTCGTCATCCTCGCCGAAGGGGTTGATCAGGACTTCGGCCACTTTCAACCAGCCGATGTAGAAACAAAACTAGGAAAGAAATTTTCGGTTAAATATACCAGTTTTGTCGTTATCGTCTGTTTATTTTCAGTAACTTTAAACTTTTAATTTTAACGTTAATTTTGGAAAAAATCAAATTTAAATCCTCCAAAATAAGCGACTATATACAGAACAGACAAATCAGTATCTTGAATGCTGTCTTATCTGTTTTTTTCCATTCCATAAAAAGTTTGCCCTACATTTCTGAATACCTTATGGTACTTCCGCCAAAATTAATCAACTATAATTATATCCCGCGGCAAGAATTTTTAGTGACCCCTTAAGAGGACACAGAGAATAGAGTGGACGAATCTACTTGTCCACACCAAATACGAAACAGAAATAACAAGCTTCTGTTTAGATCTGTTTAAGAGTTAGACCCAATTATTTGTATCTACAAGCAAATAGCAAGAATAAATAAATTGAATTTTTTTTACATATTTGAGGTTATGTTACATGAAAAGGTAATTTTTTGCTAAAGCCATTAATGGGGTCTTAAAGTACTATACTTACTCTTTAAAACGCACATGGATTTATCCCGATATGATTTTTCGTCTTTGAGAAATCGCTTGTTGAAATTTAGTAGTTTGACTAATTTCTCGATTTTTGAATATACTGACAACACAGCACCACGATTTCTCAAAGACGAAAAATGATATCGGGATAAATTCAAGTGCGTTTTAAAGATTAAGTATAATACTTTTAAAAAAAGTACCTATCCTTGCAACATAACCTCAAATATGTCAAAAAAACGCGATGTTGGCACTTTTAGGTTAGGATATCTCGTAAACCGGAGCCAACTGGCATATTTTACATCGGATTCGAATTCAGCTCACCAGAATCCTTCGGAAAAGTACTACATTCTGGTTTCTGCGTAAGAGGGTCGGCCAAATTTTCGTGAATATTTTATAATATTTAGTTTATTATACAATATTGAGCTCCAGTATATTTGCATTTATTATTTTATATTTATTGCAGCGAAATTTCTTTAAAACTGTACTTTTTAATGTTTATATTCCGTGGAATTTGGGAAAATTACCTGTAGCGACGTGAAGAACGGAAAATATATATCCGGCTCTTCCCATTTGTTGAGCAAGGGCTTATTGGTAGCGTGAGGTATGAACTGCCTTCCCAATAAGGCAGCTATGAAGTAGACGTATAATGCCAAGGACACCACCTGAAAATAATAGACAAAATTAATTTCGATTTCAAAAAGGAATCGTACCGAATTATGTCATTACGCCTTTTAAGCCGCTGTTAATGTCTGGCGTAATACATTATGAACTAATAATTATGGACGCTTACTAGTAACAGTCAATTAAAATACAAGTAGGAAGCCGATATTATGTAAATAAATTATTTTATTAATCTGATCGTGAACGTATGAATCACGAAGACAGATTGGTTATAGTCGATAATAATTGATTGAGCAGCCCAGTTTCGAGAATCGACAATGAACATGTCTTTGTTTAAGAAATTATTAAATTACCTTATGTACCTACGTAGGCCAGGAAATATAGAGTTGGACGCGGCTTTTTGTTTCGGCAAGCTGAATTTATCACTATAGATGCTAAATATTATGTACAATAATAATCATATTAGTTACCACAGTAATAAAAATTTGGGGAAGCTTGTTTACAGAGTGGTTAATTGTATAATTTTTACGTAAATTCACGTTTTTCGCTTATAACATTTTTCCGTTCATTTCCACGAGAAAACAGTAAAGTACTTTTTTTCGTCTTCAAAAGACCTACAAAACTAGCCCTCGAGCGTCAAAAAATATTGATTAGATCAAAAGTTATAAACAGAAGAAAATTATTTATAACTTTTGAATCAAACATTTATTATAGACGTTATTAATTTTAAACGAAACATCCTTGTTTCGGAAGTGCAGCCAATCCACAAGCCATTTACTTGAAACCGGTAAAAAATCAAGGTCATCCTTATATATTGCTCTCAAGCTGCACCTCGACGGCTAACCTCTTTATTAGTGAATTGTAATTAATTTAAATTCGTTCATCGTTATGTAGGTCTTATACAATGCTGGTATATGATTAACTGGAGGAGTTCCGAGATATTTCAGCGCAATCGTCATATCTTGACGAGATTGCTTTTGATCGACGTATATACTGACATTTAATTAAATAAAATTACATAGACTTTCATGTTTAATTTTCATATTTCATTTGAATATACCTACGTATATTTTAAATTGTTTAGTGCTTGATCTATTTAAGTTTCTCGTACAATAATGTTTCAGGTTTCACTGAGGCAAATTTTAAATTATCCTAGAATTAAATCAATAAATAAAATTCAACAATATACTCTGTTTACCTAATTTTCATCTAATTAATATCATTATAATTATGCTTCACTACCTATAAAAGTCAATATACACTCAGTAAGTTCCAAAATGATGGCACAAAATATTTTTTCCAGTTGAAATTTAAAAAAATTGCTGAAACAGGTCAATTAGTAAATAGAATTTGTCACCACTTTTCTGCAATATTTTCTATTTTCTTGAGCCATGTTCGACAGACCTATAACATTACCGACGTTAAATTAATTAAATGAAAACAATAATTTAGTACTACTTTTTACTTTATTACAGCAAATGTTCAAAGTAGCCCCCATTAACCATTGCACAATGCTCAATTCGGTGTTCAAAGTTATCAATTACATTTTGAATAACATTTGGAGTTATGTTTCAAAGTTCTTCTATGATACGATTTTTCAATTCTTCGATAATGTCTGGTCTGTTCACATACACTTTTCTTTTAGATAACCCCACAATAAAAATCAATCTCAAGCAACCATTTTCCAATTTCACAACGAATGAATTGGAACTAAAATCAATCACGTTACACCTAAGGTACTCCGGTGAATTTTTGTGTTTATCGATGTGTTTTTTTGAGAAAATAAAATTTTAAAGTAGAAAAATATTAATAAAGAGTAGGTACGTTTTTTAAAGTACAGAAGAGACTATATGAAATAGTCGTCAGTACGACATAAAAGACAATTTTTTACATTTTTTTGACAACTATGACTAAGAAGTAGGTATATAATATAACCTTAAATCGCTGAATTCGTCTTTGGAATAATAGCGTCCTATTAAAGAAAAAATGTAGGTAATATTACAGGTCTGTCAAATATGGCTCGCAAAAATAGAAAAGTGACAATTTCTAGTTACTACTTATAATTGACCTGTTTCAGCGGTTTTTTTAAATCTGAAAAAATATGAATTTTGTTCCATCTTTTTGGGACATAGTGTATTAATCACATTGGCAAATAAGAAACAAGAAATAATTTGGATATTCCCTGAATTAAATAACTGCCCACAAATAATCATCTTATCATTCCAATAATTTTCCATACTTTATAGTTTTGCAATAATATCTAAATATTTAAAACCACGAAAGAATCCAATACTTTGAAATTCAGCATAGTGATGTAACAGACTGTTCCTGGCAAACTATCCCATACTTAAGAATATAACTAATCACTTTTTTATTCAAATTGGTGAAATTAAATATTCTTTGCCTTAATCTGTATGTGTCTCACCGCCTATACGACAAAGGTAACTGTCCTGATTTGATCTCCATTCTGGCAGACATCTCTGGTTCATGATCGAGAGATAAAAGGCTATTATAATTTTATTGTAGATGATGAAATTACTTTTAATTAAAATCGTGTTAATAAGTTTATTTTTTTGTTAAAATCTTAAGTTGACTCGCAATAATTTCCCTCTTAAATAACTTTCAATAACTTTTTTACTTCACATCTGTCTATACCTATGATTTGACCAGAAGTCAAACATTTGACGTCGTTAAATAAAACTGTACCCTCAGCGGCAACAACAACAGATTTTTATCCGATTGCGTTCAACAAACGTCATTTTCGATTATGGAGAGGTCATCCTAAGCGCTTAATAATAGGCTTCTATTTAGATCTTAGCAGAACACGTCGGAATTGCATTCCCTTGCGAAGCGGATTTACGAAATCGCCGCAATTGTGGTCGTTTCGTTGAGCCCCTGTGTAAGCAATTCCAACCGATTGGTTTACTTGTAACACGTTTATCACCGCTGGGGAACGTTCAAACAGTTGTTCTCAAGGCAAACCCGTCATTGTCCCCCGGATAAAACCGGTCTCTGTCTTGCCCGTGCATTCATATCACCAGCAGTGTTTTTATTTCTCGTCTCGAGAACATGACGTACTAGGAAGTGAACTATATTGATACCAGTTTGAAAAAACCGGCCTGTCACTTCCACGAAAACGAAATGAATTCGATTAACTTTTCTTCCATTCATATGAAAATTACTTACTTAGGTATTTAGATAATATTTGGTAATTGAGCTTTTTCTTGTGAAGGACACAAGAGTGTGGTTCCGAGAATTATGACCAAACGAGTGAAAGTTGGCAATGAAAATATGTCGGGCCAGAACTCTTTTAATTCATTAAAAAACTGATATAACTAGGGGGGAGCTGGACGGAAAATAAGTCCATATGTATTTTTTTATTTTAGAAGTAAAAATAGAAATAAACACGAAATTTATAGTTTTATTTATTAAAACGTAAAAGAATATTTTTGTAAATCGCAAAACGTAACATTAAAATAGTATCAAAACAGGTTTTGTGCCTTTTCCCGAGGCAAAACCGCCGTTTGCTGTTTGAAATGGATACAACGAAAATATTGTATCGAAAATATTTGCAAAACTAAATGCAATTCGAATTGCTTTTACATTGTAAGTTTATGGATACTTGCAAGTAATGTTAGAATCGATAAACTCACTTGACATTTAGATAAGTACGTAATCAAAAATAATTAAACACTTTTGCAGCGTTTATCTAATTCTTATACTTATACCTAAATGTCAGCAAATTCAAATATTGTCTAAGGAAAAACGTAATTTGCTTAAAATGTAACTGGATGAACTGTAACAAATTGCTTATGGCATTGTGTTTCATAGACAATGAAATTAAATTATTTGATTAATTATAACAATTCCATTTGCAAGGATGTCACTTAAAACAGAAATCCTAAGTAAGACACAGAAATGGTAAGCTATTTCTATCATGACTGTTTTTACTTTGTCAATGGTGGTGTTAAAACAACAATACAAAACATCTTTTTGTCGAAAGAAGATTTTGAAGATTATTCTGAGACCAAGTTACACGAAAACTACCTAATGTAAAGGCATTTCTACTGATAAAATTCAATTCTGCAACTAAATTGCCAATCATTAACACTATAACTACCCATACATTAAATCCAAATGCCAAGTTATTTTAATGAGCAAAATTAAATCTAACCCAGCATACTGCACATAGATATTAACCATATTTCATGATGAAATATGAAAAAAATCCGATGCTTGCACACACGTAGTTATTACTTAACAAGACCTTGTTAGTTATTTAAAAAATATACAATTAGTCGAATAAATAATATATAATTACTCAATTGTTACAGAGGATAAACAGCATTATTGACGTGTTTAATAATAAAATTATCATATTGCATTTCCAATAAGAGTTGCACACCGATCTAGTGTATCCTTACATGACGAGCTGGTTATGTCGAAATTTACAATTCAAAGCGTTTATTTGAAGCGATCATTATGCGCGGTCAGGGTAGCCATGGAAAAGTTTCCTTTGAATTTGTGTGGGATCACGAGGTAGCTAAAGGTGCGTTTGCACTGGTCTCTTCGCTTCGTTCCAGTAGACTGGAAGAGAGATGGACCTCACATTTATGCTGTTGTAGTTTTAGAAGAATGCCAAAAGTTTATGTGCTTAAAAGAAAAGCAAATGCTGGGGTAAATAGCAATTTACTAAATAAATGGGCGTCAATAGAGGCGCAAGAAATTTCGATGTTCCAAAAACTACTCTAAAATGTAGACTGAAAGGTAATCAACTGAAGAAAACAGGTTGCCTAGCTCCCAGATTCAGTGCTTAAGGCTGTAATAGAAGAAACACAAGCCATGAAACCGGGGTTCAATTAAATAATGGCAAAACGTGTAAACGCACCTTTAGTGAAATAATTCGAAAGGATTTGACGAAAATTGGTGTAAACAGCTTAAAGGACGGCTCCTCCTGCATTTTTGCATAAATGCCTACACGATCGCACGCAACATTGTTCTTTGTTGAGGAAGGATCTGTTTATAAGCTGAAGTTCTTGGA